TATATCGGCTACAAACACAAGCCATATAATGAATTTTATTATGGGTTGTTGACAACAGCAATATATATATTACTGTATATTACTGACTAAGAAACAGAGCGAATCAGTAACAGGATCAAGTGCCATTTTTTGACAATTAATTACTTAACTAAGTCTTAAAAAAATGAGAATAGGAATGGTTATTTCTTACCTTTCCCTTGTTTCCAAAAGCAATCTTGGCCACATCTTCAACATTCTTGATTTTCCCCTGACAATATCTCTTGCTGTTTATTATTAAAAATGCACCATGGGTAGAAGCCATCAAGACAGCCAGTAAGATAAGTGACGTCATGATAAAGCCTCCTTGCTGAAATGCAAATGGCAATGACAGGATTCCTCCGCCAACCATGGTTGACACAAGTGTGAATATTGACGAGAATACCGTTCCGGTTCTTTCGTGTTCATCACTATGGACAAGATTGATTAGAGGACTTGACTCGTTAAGAACTTGGTTTTCTTCATTATCCTCATCTGTCTGGATCTCTAAATAATCACTGTTTAAATGGAACAAGAAAAAAAACTAAGATTTCATACGTTTAAGGATCAATATTGTTTTAGCAAAAATAGAGTTCCTTTCTGGGGAGTCATGAGAAGTAGAGACAGTGAGGTGCCAATAACAACTTTAAACCTCCAAACCCCTTCACCGTTCTTTTTTTGGACTTGACAATCATATTTCTCAAAGCAAAAATCATTAACACTGTTTATCTTTTAATAAACTGACTGGATTAGCTGTCCCAGTAATACCTCGAAGAACACACCTTACCTCCAATAAAGAAGATTTAGAAATAATAATTAAAAGATAAGCATCACCCAGTCATGACTATCTAACAACCATTCAAGATAGCATGAGATATTTGCAAGAACTGCCACTATCACAGGGGTAAGGTAGTTTGTCCAAAAGACCTGAGAATATTGTTTGACAGAACTGGATGCACATGGTCTGCGAAAAGTGTAATAATATCTACTTATTAACCGAGAGTGAAGTCTTTATAGGAAAATCTCACAGCGAGACCACGCCATACTGACTGAGTGATGGTGAAGTCAATATGGCAAGGTCNTTTTGGACTTGACAATCATATTTCTCAAAGCAAAAATCATTAACACTGTTTATCTTTTAATAAACTGACTTGATTAGCTGTCCCAGTAATACCTCAAAGAACACACCTTACCTCCAATAAAGAAGATTTAGAAATAATAATTAAAAGATAAGCATCACCCAGTCATGACTGTCTAACAACCATTCAAGATAGCATGAGATATTTGCAAGAACTACCACTATCACAGGGGTAAGGTAGTTTTTCCAAAAGGCCTGAGAATATTGTTTGACAGAATTGAATGCACACGGTCTGCGAAAGTGTAATAATATCTACTTATTAACCGAGAGTGAAGTCTTTATGGAAAAATCTCACACTGAGACCATGCCGTACTGACTGAGTAATGGTGAGGTCAATATGGCAAGGTCGAGGTTTGAGATTTTCCTTT